TCAAGTCTCGAACCTTAATACCCTCGGATGAGGTCCCATGCTGAGACGGGACCTGCCCTTCCGCTTTGATAGGGCACAGCTAGCCCTAAAGACACCAGGCGCTCTTTTTCTCTGGCTGGTGGAGGTGGCCTCTGTGAGCAGGGCTGTCTGAGCAAGGCCAGGGCTTCTGTCTGTGCCAGATGAGCACTAGAAGGCTCTGTGTTCTCAGGTTCTGCGTTACGCAGCTTTTACCTTCTCAGCTTGAGTCACCGTGATGTTTGCCTGGTGAAAGTGCTGCGAATTTAGAGGCCAGGATTTCAGCCTCTTGGGGTCCTTTGGTTAAATACCCTCCTCTCAGGGGCTGGATAATGGGCCCTCTGTGAGCGTGGGGTTTATCGGTTGGTCACATGACTTCCCCAAACTGGAGCCAAACCACAAGAACCATCGAGGTAGAGAAAGAAGGTTATCACTTTGGGTTTCCCTGCTTTTGTCTCGAGTTTTCTGTCAGTATATCCCTTTCAGCGCGCTGTGGAAAATGGCATCCTTCCCTGGAACAAAACATACAATCCCCCAAAGGAGAACCGGAGAGGCCTCTTTTCAGATGAAGAAGGGGGGCCTCCCACTGGGGTCTGCACTGCGTGGGGAGCACAGGCCTCCCGTGGGGAGCAGAGGCCCTTCCAAAGGGAGGCCGCCAGGGACTCGTGGGCAGCTTCTCGCCCTCCCTGGAGACGTGTCTCTCAAAGCCCTGCGCTCTATCAGGCCTTGTCTCTGTTAAGCGCTTTCCTGCTGGGGGTCTGGAAGAAGGTGGGTGACGAGGGCCGCCTGTGTCCCTCTCTCCTCCTCTGCCTCACATTCCCCGGGTGCTGGGGCAGCTACTGGAAGACACTGGTGTGCCCATGATTGGGGTCCAGGGCTCTGGGTCCTGGAAGAACCACTTGCTAAGCGGGAAGCCACTGTTCCTGAAGGACTGACTGCACAAGTGGAATTCCTCTGTTGCTAGTAGGAGTGGGGTTCTTACGATATCTTGAGAAAAAGAATTTTCTAAGACTCGGCCGGGAGAGTGGGTGCTTTTTATTT